GGCTTTTAAAAAAAACGCTATGCGTCGCCAGGTGTTTCATCGGATTCGAGGTGTTACCTCCTTTGACAGTATCACAGTATCATCTTAAAGCACTTGTTGCTGCTGAGTTTGCATCTTTTGCTGTGAAGTACAGCCAGACTTTTGACCGCTTCGCCTTGGACATTTTTAATCTGTAGCTCTGCTCTAACTGAACGTACGTACCTGGCCCCGCCTACTATCCTGGGAAACGTATAATGATTGGTTAGAAGTGTATCACAGCTCAGGAAAAAAAAAACACCGAAATAAAGCACCGAAATGTGCGCTGCTTTTCGGTCTGGTTACTACCGTTTATGTCAGAACCGGTGCCATCATGGCACCGGACACCGGTACCCATCCCTACCTTTATTTTACCCTCTTCTGATTTTTAGCACAGTGCAAACAATAAATTGATAAACTTTCACTTTCAGCAGTCCTGTTCTGCAACAGCAGAGATGGCGCTGCTTGTTGGGACAATCTGGAGCTGTGGAAACATATTTATGTCAAAGGTCATGCGAGAAAAACATAATCACAAGCAAATATTTTCTAACTATAACTGTATTTTAATTTTCAACTTTATTTTATTGTGATTATTTCTAGTTTTTACTTACATTGACAGCAATACATTAAGAAATACTTTAAACGGCTGCAGAGGTTATAGATGTTTTGATCCTGGGTCTCTTAACCAGCATTCTGTGTTTTTTGTGCTTTTATGTTTTACTTAGATATATTTACATTGTTTCTTAAGTTTATATTTCATGTAATATTCCTAAGCTTTATCTGCCATCCTTGTGTTCCCTGTGATGTGTTTCTGATTTATCACTTTCTACATTTTACACTAAAATACTGGCACCAGGCTGACTATTGTGCTCAGCCGTAAAAATATTAGAATTATGTTATACAACCACATACTTAGATGCATGGGATTACCTCGGCCTTTAGTAACATTGTGAGGAATCCTAGAGTCCTTTTGACCAGAATGTGTCCTCCACTGTGCATATTAATCATATATGTAGGACTGCTTTCTTGCATTTGCATAATATCTCTAAAATGACAAACCCAATTTCCAAACATCTTTCTAAAACTGGAATAAAAACAAAAATCTATAATTTGCATATCTTGATATAGTGGCAGGTTGTATTAAGTAACAATCACTTCCAAATTATATCTAAGGCCATGAGGCTCTGTCAGTCACACTAGCATGATGGTTTTGAATGCAGTACCTTGTAAGAGCTTCAAGGTCACGCACATTCACTCGTGGTTTCCTTGCTTGGCCTTTACGCACAGTGATTTAAATTTAATGTCATACAAAGGACAAATATGTGCACTGAGAGTAAATACATTTTATTGGATAATATACCAGAATCTGCTAACAAGGTCATACTCAGCAGCTATATTCGTTGATCCTGATATAAAATTCATGCAAAAAGCAACAGAGACAACATTTCATAGAGAAAGCAAAATGGTGATTGTAAACACCACAGTACGAAATTCTTTGTTACACTGCTTGATAGGACAAGCACACACGGTCCAGAACATTGGACCAAGGAGTAGAGTAAGATGCCAATATTTAAAAGAATTAAGATAAATATCCTCATATCCATATCTCAACACAAAAAAAAATGTAAAGAAAGGATGGAAAAAGAAATGACAGAGAGAGTTAAGCTGGACAAAATTAAGTCCTGCATAAAACTGTTCGAGATGAAACACAACAGACAGCAGCAGATATTGTTGTGGCAGTCAGGGAGGGCTTTTAATTTGAAATGAACAATGCAGCAAATAGAACAGTAATGGAATAAGAGACAAAATAAAATCCATGAATTTAATTAAACCTCAGTTTGAAATAAATAATTCATTTTCTTTTACCATGATGGAAAATGTGACTGCAGTGAAAATAATGACCATAGAACATGTTTTATTGCAGAAATATGAGGATGAGAGAAGACAATTGATCCAAAGCCTTAGTAACATGAAAATGAACATGAAACTTATTGATTTCTAAAAACCCCACCATTTTTCTGTTTGCCAGCCACCAGAAGAAATTATTATTAATAATAAAAAAGAACTCAGCAGCTTCACAAACAAAGAAGCCGTCGTGCATGTTAGTCTTCTTTGCGAGCGCTGCAGTAGATTGGCTTTGGCTTTGCTCTGTGGAGTGTAGGAGTGTTTAGCTTATTTTAGAGTTTAGAAATGTGTTATTATAGAATGTAGAACTATTGTAGAGACACTGCCCTCAAAGTAATAAAGGCTTGACTGTGTCGTGAACTTAGGAGTACATTGTAGGAGACCCCTCCCCAGCTGAACTGTGAAAGTAAAACAGAGAGGAAATTACCTAGAGAATGTTTGGGTGGGGGTCTCAACATTTGTAACTGGATAACTGTGGTCTGGAAGGGAGATGGGTTTTATGACCTAGGGAGTCACCTACACCCACAGTGTTTTAATTGTTATGCACACACATCCACATGCACACTCACTCATGTGCACTCACACATACACACAGGTATGCGTACACAGTCACACACGAGCACTCACATAGACATGCGGGAACGCGCACATGTAGGCATTCATGTGCTCGTGCACATAGACACAGACACAGAGTTTGCAGCACAATGTGGGGGGGGTTTATGATGGGGTCGCCCCTACAAAACTGTGTTTCACAGACAAAGAGGTGAAGATTTGCAGAGGGACACACCGGCCTCGTCTTCCCTTCTAGAAGTGCATGCTTAAATGAAGATGAATAAAGATGAATAAAGGTTTTGTGAAATGACTACTGAGTTCCGGTGCCGTCTCTGGAAGTTTCGACGAATAAAAGAACCGGGGTAAAACTGATTTCGCAACAGGAGGCAAAGTTATGGAGTAACAAAAACAGGATTGTATAATAATAATTAGTACTTTATGTTGTGCATATATTATATTAGAAATATGTTCATTATCAATACTGCAGATTATATCAGTAAGGAAGCAGATTAAATATTGTCATCAGTCTCTGACTGATGACAATGACGAAAGGGTGGGATTAAATAAGTGTACATTTCTTCTCACTCCTTTTCGATATGTAACTGAATCAGAACAAGTAAAGCGGTATTAAAATGTATTTTGTTTTACTTTGTGTAGCATTTTTATTTCTTTTCTTTGCTAAATGAACTTCTGTATATTGTTTAGACGATCAATCAGTCTGATGGACTCAGGTCCATCTGCTTCTTTGATGTTTCAGCGTCTGAGACATTGGCTGTGTCCCAATTCAGGGTCTGCACGCTTGAAGTACGCGCACTACGCGTACTACGTACGGTGCGTACTCTAAGTACAGAAGTGCGGAAGTGAGAGGCTTGTGAAATGGGACGGTCTAGCCTTCGTCGTGCTGCTCAGGTTGCCTAGCAACCATGATACTAACCGCGAGAAACGTTTCATACAGCTTTGTGTGACAGAAATTAAGAAGAAAAAATGTTTTGTTGGTCATTCACTTTTTTGATGACATCACTTTGATTAGTTGAGTATCTGAGGCTGAGACCACAGGACTGTAAAACATGATTGTTGGGCTTCATTTCTGTACTGAACAGTCATTTTAAGATTAGTCAGTAAATAACAATTAGCTGGTGTTGTTCATATATATATTCAAGTTGCAGCTATTTATATTTCCTATCACCTTAAATCTTCACTCAAAGACAAGTATCTTTGACAGTGTATATATAGATGTATTATGCATAAGAGACAAATATTGTTCGTTTAACATGTTGGCATTATTAAATTTGGCTCAATGCTTACATACATGTGTAAAAAGGAAAATGTACGAGCTGGGAAAACTGTTTCTGATAGAATGAAGAGTAGATTGATATATTAAATATTCCTTTATTGGGTGAGAAAATCAGACCATGTCATAACTGCTTTAAGTCATACAGAATAGATATCAGAGCCTTAAACAGGCTGACTTCTGCTAAATGGGTCAAACTGGGCAGAAAGTATACAAACACATAACATCCTTATAGAATATGATGTTTTAATGTTCTTCGTTATTAAACATTCGCACATAAATAAGTGGCATCATATTCAGTACTTACTTTTGACAGTTCACTCTTCGGCCGCTCCCTTCTGCCGTATTTTGCGGCAAAATTATCCACACCCACCGCCGCGCTATAAATTGTGGGATATATGGGACCACGCTTGATATTTGGGGAAATCGACGGCGCATTTGGAGTGCGCATTTGAAGTACACTTCGAATTGGGACAGCTATCGTCGCGTGGCGGTGACGTAATCGCACTTAAAATGCGTACTTCAAGCGTGCGGTCTCTGAATTGGGACACAGCCTCATTTTCTTGTCTCGTCACTGCTTCTTCCTGTGTGGGCGTGGTCCTCGGAGCATCCTCTCGTCTGTAATGAAAATGTTGCTTCTTTTATTTTTTCTCAAAAGAAAAAAATGAGCCCTGACTGAACACGAGCAGTGATCAGGTCCACTAAGACACACCCACGCACTGCTAAGCCACTGCCTCTCAGAGGCGGAGCAATATGTGAAAAACGAGAGCTTCAGCGTCAGAGTCCAGAAGTGAAACTTACAGTGAGAACAGCAAAGTTTGTTTGTCTTCACAGGAGCGTCAAACGGAGCTCTTCCAGCCTTTCTGAGCAGCACAGCACAGGTTCTTCCAACACTGGTGAGTACAGATGATCACGATCACACTGTTTTAAAATCCACATGTTGATCCTCCTCTTTGTAACCTGGAAACACGGTGCAGTTCACCTGTGGGTGGCGTAGGGAGTATTTCCACACACATATCTCTACATGTCTCCCTCTTTGTTAAATTATTTTTTATAAAAATATGAACATTCATCCTCATCTTATTTTTAGCACAGTGCAAAGAATAAAATCATAAACTTTCACTTTCAGCAGTCCTAATCTGCGACAGCAGAGATGACGCTGTTTTTGGGGACGATCCGGAGCTGTGGAATCATTTTTATGTCAAAAGTCAAAAACGTAATCACCAGCAAATAATTTCATGTCACATGTGCAGGTATTCATTGTCACACATGTCAATAAATTCTTCGTGCGTAATGGCGCTTTTATGCTCACTGTTGACCTTACAGCCTCATGTGATGAAATCAATGTCATATGGTGTGAGCCATGGACGTGATTAACAATATCAGTTCAGTTTCAGTTTTATTTCTTACATAGTAAGTTAGAACAGGGTCAACATTAATATGAAATTTAATATAGTAAAAAATAGTAAAAAAAACAACCCAAAATATTTATGAAATATAGCGAAAAATAGAGTAAAAAAATGTTAACAGACCATATATATAAATATATGTGTGTGTGTGTGTATGTATGTGTGTATGTATATATGTATGTATGTATATATATATATATATACAGTGTGTGCAACAGGATGGTAGTCATTCAGTCAGGAGACCACTGATTTCTTAGGAACAGGAATGATGGTGGGTGTTTTGAGGGATGTGGGGGGCCACTGACTGGCTCAGGGAGAGGTTGAAGATATTGGTGAACACCCCTTTGTTCCTGCTATTTTACAAAGTAACATGAAAGTAATGTAACGAGTAGTATAACAAATTACTTTTTAAACAAGTAACATTCTGCATTACTCGAAAGAAGAGTTTGTGTAATATTTGTAATAATGACTTTTTGAAATACAGAGTCCAATAGTGATCACAGCAAAGAGGGGAGAAAACCTCAACAAACACGCACAAACATTTGACTCACAGCATGCAATTTGCATGAAAGTAATTTTTTCTATTGTTGCTTAGCAACGGTCGTGACTCTGGAAATGGAGCAAATGAGAATCGATAATGGAATCGGAATTGCTAAATTCTTATCAGTTGTCATCCCTAGAAATATTGTTACCTCTGGTTTTTACTTTTTCTCCTTCAGTATCAGTGCAAATGTGTTGGTATTGTCTGAGTGGTGGCACTTTTCATTCTGAACTGTTTAGAGCAGTTCAGTCTGAAATCTGAACTTTTGGGCTCAAAGGGATTACTTTCACGTACACTGACCCTAGATCTATGACAGGAAAGAAGGAACAGCCAAATAGAGCCACTTTTATTAGAATTAAAACTGAATTTAAAATAAAATCATTTTCTTTTCTTTCTCACTCAGGGTGCAGACATGTCTGCTGCCAGCTGTCTTCTATCTGAAGATCAGTTTCTGTGCTCCATCTGTCTGGATGTCTTCACTGATCCAGTCTCCACACCATGTGGACACAACTTTTGCAAAAACTGCATCAGTCAACACTGGGATATCAGTGAGAGGTGTCAGTGCCCCATGTGTAAAAAGGTGATTGAGACCAGACCTGAGCTGCACATCAACACTTTCATCTCTGACATGGTTTCTCAGTTCAGACTTGAAGCTCAGCAGAAAGTCAGCAGCAGCAGCTCAGAGCAACAAGCTGCCAAACCAGGAGAAGTTCCCTGTGACATCTGCACTGGAACCAAACTGAAGGCTCTGAAGTCCTGCCTGGTGTGTCTGGCCTCCTACTGTCAGACTCACCTGGAGCCTCACCTGACAGCTTCACGTCTGAAAAGACATCAGCTGATTGATCCTGAGGAGAACCTGGAAAGTAGGATATGTGTGAAACATGATCAACCTCTGGAGCTGTTCTGTAAGACCGATCAGACATGTGTCTGCATGCTCTGCTCTGTTATAGACCACAAGACTCATGAGTTTGTTCCTCTGAGAGAAGAATATGAAGGAAAGAAGGCAGAGCTGGGTAAGACTGAAGCTAAAATTCAACAGATGATCCAGAAGAGACGACTGAAGATTCAGGAGATCAAAGAGTCAGTGAAGATGAGTAAAGATGCTGCAGACAGAGAGAAAGCAGAAGGTGTTCAGGTCTTCACTGCTCTGAAGGAGTTTGTTGACAGACGTCTGAACGAGCTCATAAAGGAGATTGAAGATAAACAGGAAACAACAGAGAAACAGGCTGAAGGTTTCATCAAAGATCTGGAACAGGAAATCTCTGAGCTGATGAAGAGAAGCTCTGAGGTGGAGCAGCTCTCACGCTCTAAAGATCACCTCCACCTCCTCCAAAGCTTCTCATCCCTGAAAGCTGCTCCAACCACCAAAGACTGGACAGAGGTCAGTATCCATCCACCATCATATGAGGGGACTGTGGTGAGAGCTGTGGATCAGCTGAAGGAGACACTCAATGAAGACATGAAGAAGCTGTTTGAGGCTGAGCTGAAGAGGGTCCAGCAGTATGCAGTGGATGTGACTCTTGATCCTGATACAGCACATCCTTATCTCATCCTGTCTGATGATGGAAAACAAGTACACTGTGGTGAAGAGGAGAATGATCTTCCAGACAACCCAGAGAGATTTTCTAAAATTCCCATTGTTTTAGGAAAGCAGAGTTTCTCTTCAGGCAGATTTTACTTTGAGGTTCAGGTTAACGACAAGACCAACTGTTCCTTAGGAGTGGCCAGAGAGTCAGTCAACAGAAAGGAAGAAATCGCACCGAGTCCTGAGAAAGGTTACTGGAGTGTAGGAGTATATGAAAACATTTGTGTAGCTCTGGAGGGTCTTCCAGTCTGTCTTCCTCTTCAGTATTATCCTGAGAAGGTGGGGGTGTTTGTGGATTATGAGGAGGGTCTGGTCTCCTTTCATAATGTTGATGATGCAGCTCTTATCTACTCCTTTACTGGCTGCACCTTCACTGAGAAACTCTACCCATTCTTCAGTCCTGAAGTTAATGATCATCTGATCATCTGTCCTGTCAATCTGGCAATTTGATCTTTTTCTATATGGACATTTCATAAATTACAGGTTAAGCTCAACATTTCTCTTCCAGGATGCTCTGAAAAAGTTTTTGTGCCATGAAAATGCACTAGTTTTTCTATTTTTCAATAAAATAAAAGAGATGTTGATAGAACACCAGCAGTGATCAGCTTTACTGAGACACATTCATGGTAAAAATGCACTACTTATCCATGGTAACACTTTATAATATGGCCGGTGAGTAAGGGTTCAATTCCTCTACAGGTTTTTTTTTTTTCCTTTTTTAGCTGAAATTACAATCTGATTAAATTGACCTCAAAATAGTTGGTGTTAGAAACACTGCTTGTGAAGTGTATTTATTTGATTCATGGTTAATAACAATAATTATATTTAAAGTATAATCTTAAATAAAAGTTTGCACATACTGGTGGATCATCTATTGTAGAAAAGTAAAATGTTGTTGCTAATCCATTAATTCAGTGCAGTTGCATCAGAAACCTTACACTGTATGGTGGTCTGATGAATTTGGTAGGTACTGTACACTAGAAAGTAGGTTTAATAACAAACATCATACATTTTACAGGAAAGGAAACACAAATTAGACTGTCAGTCAAGGTTAAGTAGAGCATAGTTTTCAGGTGTTTTAGTGGGGAAAAAAACTAAAAGGAGACATTCATGGTCTTTCTTCTTTTATAATTTTGACTCTCAAAATTCTGAGTCAAATTTTGTAACATAAGAGGAGAGTTGAGCACTGTACCATTCATGATTGACACCAACACTATAAACAATCCAGCCTGTTAGCCTTACCCACCGCCTTTCAGAGGTGGAGCAACACCTGAAAGAGGAGGGCTTCAGTGTCAGAGACGAGACCTGAAACTTAAAATGAGAGCTGCAGCTCAGCAAATCTGTTTCTCTACAAAGGAATCTTAAACGGAACTGATCCAGCCTTTCTCAACGGGGTTACCACCACGACAGGCACCAACTACCTTGCGGCCACAGCTCAGTACACAAGCCTCAGCAGTGGTCCCCAACCCCTGGGCCATGGACCGGTACTGGGACGCGAGAGTTGAAGCTCTGGTGTGAAATTTATGGTTTTCAGGGTTTTTATCGTTAACTTGGTTTCTCTAAGTCTTTTCCCATGTTGTAGTTGTGTGTCTTATTTTGAAAGAAATCTTTACGCCTTACTATAGCGACCAGAGAGCATTAAGGAGCAGAGACTCAGACGAGAGACAAGGGACAATATATACACAGAGATGTGATAAAGAAAGCAGAAACACAAGGTAGTTTTTCACTGTTGCATTTTATATTTTAAATGGAGCAATGGAACCACTATTGGGGGATGCTAAGAGGAAGAAGACAGCTGCTGGCACAAAGAAATGTCATGGTCCCAAGTTTTCAACATTTCAGTTCTGTTTATTATTAAGATTTTTTTTTTGTTTATTTTATTGTATTTTTTTCTTGTAATTTTGAATTTGTATTCTAGTTTATATTAATTTTGTTTTGCATGATCTAATTCCCTGTTTTGGTTGTCTTCTTTTGTTATTTGTAATTAGAGTTATTGTTTATACTTGATCCCCTGGATTTCAGTTTTCCTGCCATCCTGTTTTCCCCATGTCTGTAAAGTCTGTGTTTCTGTTTTTGATGTTCCCATGTTTGATTCTTTCCTGTTTTATTTCGATAGTCTCTTGTGTTGTGTGCATTGCATTTAGCTTTGTTTCCCCTGTCTTTAATTAATTATCTTTCATTTCAGCTGTGTGTTTTGATGAGTCTCAATTCAATTCAATTTTATTCATATAGCGCCAAATCACAACCATACAAACTAAACATATGATGTAAGTGATGTTCTTGTAAGTGACGGATATACCAGGGAGGTTGAAGTGAGACAACACACACAGTTCTGTTACATTCAATTCAGTTCTGCTTTATTTATATAGCGCCAAATCACTACAACAGTTGCCTCAAGGTGCTTTATACTGTAAGGTAGACCCTACAATAATACATACAGAGAAAAAACCCAACAATCATATGACCCCCTATGAGCAAGCACTTTGG